AGCTAATAATGGCCATAAACTCTCAAGGGATGAGATCTAGCAAAAGAATGGTCAAGGTATCGACTTTATACCTTAATATAGCTGCCACAACAAAGAATTTCTCTGATCTAAAGCTTCTCTCTTCAACTATGCACCGCCAAATTTCAACTCCTTCAAGAAAGCACCAAGGAAACACTCTTTAAACTCACACACACTCAAAATGGGAGATGAGACACGATTTAGGGTTTCTCTGGACTGAGGGGGCGATAAGGGAGGCTTACAATGAGGCTTAAGGCCTTTAAATAGGGTGCAAAACCCTGAAAATTAGGGTTTCATTAACAGCCGCCAACTCGTCAAGTTGGGGCCTTCCAACTCGTCGAGTAGACCTTAAAAGATACGCGGCCATTTAAAACTTTACACGACGAGTTGGCACCTTCCAACTCGTCGAGTTGCCCTGAAAATATACATATGTAAGGCTTTATATTCTTACCTGGAGTTTGGGATGTTATAATTTACGCCGAAACGTTGACCACCTCGAATTTATATCGACACATACATAAAAATGCGCACATAAAAAAATTAGTTTTTTTGAAGTTAACGAACGAAAATTATTAACGAAAATCAAATTATATATACTATGGGGGATAAAGACGAAAGTTTGAAAATGAAGTGGTGAAAATGATATTTTACAAAGCTCAAAATTGAGGTATCAAAGTAACATTTTAAAAAGTATATGGGTAGAAAATATCATTTTACAAAGTAGACAAAAAATAGAATGGTAAAAAATGTCATTTTATAAAGTAGATGTGTAGGAAATATCCATGGAAACATGAAGAGATGAAAATGATATTTTACAAACTTCAAAATTGAAAGGAACAAAATGACATTTTAAATAGTAGAGGTGTGGAAAATCATTTTACATAGTAAAGAAAAAAATAAAAAAAAATCATTTTATAAAGTATAGGAATAGGAAACATTAATGGAAACATCCACCAACATTACCTTTTAATATATAATTAATTTTTTCACCAACTTATATCTAAATGATTTAAAGATAAACTATTCGGAGGCTATATCTAAATGATTTAAAGATAAACTATTCGGAGGTTGAATGGTTCAGAAACTTTGGATGAAAACTATGCTATTTGATAAGGTTGATGGATATATTTGCTAAATGACAAAAATTGTGATTTTATTATTCTGAACCATTTTGTACTAAATGAATGTTTCATGTTTAATAAAACATATAAATAAATTAGCTGAAAAAATATAAAAATTACAAGACATCATACAAAATGTTATGTTAAACATAATAGTTGATAATCCATAAAACATACTAAACTTTAATCATAATAGTTTGCACATATTTTTTTAAAGTTGAAACTTTATAAATAATTTATTAGCAATCTGATCATGCAAATTGTCTGTATATTCATTGTCTTAGTGTAACACCCCTCGCTAGGGCCTAGCTGAATCATACTTTAAAAAAAAATGAAAAACATTTATGGAAAATTTCCCAAAAATTCAAAGTTAATGATTAACGGAAAAACACTTTGGTCCCAAAATAGTAATCGTAATCAAGTTTGAAAACTAGCGAGATTGTTAACAATAGACATATCAAAACAAGATTCAAGCTCACCACACATTATGCGGTCTTCTTAAAGTCTAAGCTAAAGCCCCTGACTACGCTTGGGGTTCTGCCCTTTGGGGGTGCTTCCCCTAGAACCCCACCAGTTACACTGCCCCAGACCCCCGTGTTATCGATTCCTCTTAAGTTATCCAAGTGTGCACTGCACACCTCCTATCTCTGAATATGACTAAAAGGTACTCGACTTCTCTCAAATAGAATGTTGACTACACTAAAATATCGATAATACTAAAATCACCAACATTTCTCTCCCATTATAGTGTAATCCTTGATTCCACAAAATCAAACTCATGGATAAATGAAAATCTCTTGAAGAGTGAATTTACATATTAGTATAATACACATTTCAAACATTCGAGAATTTGGGTGTCCTAGGGATTGAACCCTCAATTCATTGTAACTGAAGATATTATACACATAAGTTTTACACAAATTCTAAAGTTTTATTCTTGACACTATTACAAGCCATGTGTCCAATCCATTCATGAGCGCATAAAAGCCTAGTCCAAGTTTTCTGAAGTGGCAAAACATCACACTCACTTAGGTAACTTTTCTAAATCATGCACGTGTATATGCATTTTTTTCAAATGAACTATTAAGTAATTACTTCAACCTAACATAAGTCTTACACTCTTACATATTAAAGCATATACACTGAGATGTTATAAACGGATGCGCTTCAATCTCCACAAGTAAGCTTTCCACATTGAGTTCAGCATCTAACATTGTATTATAAGCGAATTAGGTATCTTACCCATAGAGATTTCAAGTGGTCCTTAAACCCATACCTATCACCGACTTTCTTACCAAGTCCCTACCTAACCCCTTCGTCAAGTGGTCAACTAAATTCTGTTAAGATTGAACAAATTCAACAGAAATGATATATTGAGTTATAAAATCATGTACCATAATGTGTCTAACACCTAAATGTTGCGACTTTCCATTATATACTTGGCTATAGGCCTTTGCAGCACTATCATAATGTATAGAAATGGGTGATATAGGCTTTGACCGCAAAGGAATTTCAAAAATAAAATTCATCAACCATTCTGCTTCCTTACCAGTAGCTACAAGGGCTACAAATTCAGATTACATAGTTGAGTTTGTGATGCAAGTTTGCTTCTTTGAGTCCTATAAAATCACACCTCCTCCAAGAAGGAAAACCTAACCACTTGTAGGTGATTGGTCCTCGTTTTCTGTAATCCAACTAGCATCAGAAAACCCTTCTATGACTGAAGGAAACCCTACATAAGTCAAACCACAATCCATGGTTTTATTAAGATACTTCATCACCCAACTTACTGCTTACTAGTGGAGAGTACTAGGATTCCTAGTAAACCGAGTGAACTTTCCTACAACAAATGCAATATCAGGCCTTGTGGTGGTCATAACATACATCAAATAACGTATAACCTTTGAATATTCAAATTGTGAAACTGCTTGACAAATATTAGGCATAAGTTTCACACTTGGATCAATAGGAGTACTCATTGGTGAATACTATGTACATTTGAATTTCTTAAGAACCTTCTCAATGTAATTAGAATGTGATATAGAAATTCAATGGTGTTCACGCTTGATTCTTATTCCAAGAATCACTTCTGCCTCCTCAATATCCTTTATAGATAATTGACATGATAAAAATTCTTTAGTCATGTCAACTTATCTTTGATCAGTTCCAAAGATCAACATATCATCCATATGCATGCAGATGATTACTCCTTTACCAGACTCATCAAATTTACTATACACGCACGTGACTGATTGATTTAACTTGAAACCATTAGTCAAGACCACATCATCTAACTTGTGATGCGACTGTTTAGGTGTTTGTTTCAACCCATACAGTGACTTAACCAACTTGCACACTTGATGCTCATTACCAAACATAACAAAACCCTCAGGTTGTTACATATAAACCTCTTCCTCTAAGTCACCATTCAGGAATGTTGTTTTAATATCCATTTGGTGAATAACTTTGCAGCCAAGGAAATCAACAATCTAATAGTTGAAATACAAGCTATAAGTACCTAAGTATCAAAAAAGTCAATACCAGGTTTTTGTATAAAACATTGAATAACCAACCGAGCCTTAACTTTGCCACTTGATCCATCTACTTTCATCTTCCTTTTGAAAATTCACTTGCAAGCCAATAGTTTGCATCCGAGATGAAGATTAGATAAAACTCATGTGATACTTCCCATGATAGAATCCATCTCATCATTAATTACGTCTTTCCAGAAAGCAAAATTTTGAGATTTCATTGCATCATCAAATGTTTTGGGACCTTCTTCAACAATAAAACAATAAGAATATTGAGTTGCAACCTCATCTCTATAACCTGTAACCAGATAAAGCTGAAAATCAGGACCAAAATATTTAACCTTTCTTTATATTTTGCTTCTCTGAATCTCAAGTGATTCATTAGAGTTAGGTATAACTTCAACTTCCTTATTAGTTCCACTAGAACTAGGAAACATATCCTTTGATCTAGGTACGGTTGAAAAACGATTTTTATCAAATAATGCATCTCTTGATTCTATGACAGAGTTAACCAAAACATAACCATTAGGTTCAACAAAGAACCTATAAGCCTTGGAATTCTCAGCATAACCAATGAAGATACAAATAATACCTATTTCACCCAAAGTTTTCATTTTAGGTTCATTCATTCTTACAACTGGTCGACAACCCCAAACTTTAACATAGCCTAAGTTTGGTTTCTTTTTCAACCAAAGTGCACAGAGCTATTTTATTCCTTTTTATGGGAACCCTATTCAATAAATAGTAGGTTGTTAACATAGATTCTCCCCAGAACCCATCACTCAATCCTGAATATGACAACATATAATTCATTATTTCCTTCAAAATTCTTTCTGATATACCACTTTGTTGAGGGGTATATGTAGTTGTAGTTTCTTATATGATTCCTACTGATTGAAAATAAGTAGGATCATAATATTCACCACCTCTCCTAGTGCAAAGCCTTTTAATTAATTAATTTTGTTGCAACTTAACTTCAATTTTATAAATTTTAAATTTATCAAGGGCTTCATCCTTAGAGTGTAATAAGTATACATAACAAAAACAAGAATAATCATCTATAAATGTAATAATGTATTTCTTATTACCTACGGATGGAGTTGCATGCAAATCACATAGATCATTATGTATTAATTGACGCATAACATAATTCATTTTTATATTTGGAAAATCATGTCTATTAATCTTAATTGGCATACAAGTTTTGTACTTTTCTATGTTTATGTCAAAAGTTGGTATTTATCCATTTTTTGACATTTCAAGCATTTGTTTATAATGTACATGTTCTAAGCGAGCATGCCAAAGAGAATAATCATTAATACTAGAACAAGCCATATATCGATTCTGCAACATTGTCATATAAATGTATCACACTTTAGTAAAATATCCAAATCCTACAAATGTATCACACTTTGATAAGATACACTTATCATATTCATACACTTGTTTATAATCACACTTACTTAATACCAAGTTCTTCCTAATCTTACGAACATGTATAATATTTCTAAAAATAAGACTTTTTCGAGAACTAAAAACTAGACACACTGAACCACAACAAAAAAACGGAGCTTTATTATAATATAGAGCATCGATCCATCATCTACTACTTCATAATCCTTGAACAAGTGACAAACTTTACATACATGACTCGTCGCCCCCGAGTCTACCCACCATGTGTGATCATCATACTGTACATAATATGCTTTATGGATCAATGTTACATGATATATAAAAAAAGTAGTTCTAAAAATTAAATTCTGACCTTGTTGTGGTTGTGGACCTTGATCTTGAGATCATTCTCCTGATGTGCTTGCACCATTCTTGTTCTTTCTCAAACGAAAATCATGTTTCAAGTGACATGGTTCGTTACAATTCCAACACACGAGTTTTGGTTTCTTATTGGAACCTTTGTGATGGTCATCTTTCTTCTTTCTCTTTCATTTGTTATTTTTTTGGTTTTTTTCATCTTCTACCATACTAACAGAAGATCCATGAACATCTTTTTCCTTTAATTTTTCCACTTTATTGAACCCGGAGGCCCTATTCAATTCATAAGTGACTGCCAAGTTGTATAAGAGACAACTCTTCCTTTTGTAGTTTCAGAATGTGCTTGAAATCCTTCCATGATGGGGGTAATTTGTCTATAACACTTGAAACAGAAATGGACTCGTCCATTTTCATCTTGTGTTGTTCAAATTGTCCCGAAATTTGCATGAGTTCATTGTAATGTTCCATGACAGGCCTCGAATCCTTCATTTCCTCTAAAATTTGTATGTTTACCCACTAAAGTGATCATGTGCATGTTTGACTATTTATATCAACTGGTACATTTATGTTAATTATGCATGCTTGTGAGTGGTTTACTATCGAGATTATTGATATGGATGTATATGATTTCACTTTTGTTGCATAAATATTTGCAATTGAGTTCTTTTTAATTGTCTTGGGGAGTTGGTTATTTTTCCAAACGGTGAAAGACATGTTTATATATGATCTCCTTAATTGTTATTTAAACCCTACATACTTCTATTTTTATTACATCATCATTGTTAGGTACTCCATTTGAGGATAGGCGTATCTGTATAAGGTGATAATTTTGTACACAACACTTTTTAACCACAAACGAGGGTGCTAATTTTGTACACAACGCTTTTTAGCCATAAACAACAATTTATGCTTTATAGTAGTACAATACATTCCTCTTAAGCATAAATTTTTGTGTTCGGCTAAAAATATTGTGTACAAATCACTCCCCATTTGTATAAGGAGTTTGTTTCCCATATTTTGGGTTCAAAAAAGGAAGTTGAGTATCATTTTACTATTTTAATATTTTCGATTGTGGTTGATTTTTTTTATAAAATCGTTTTTAACAAAAAAAATGTAACAATATTTGTCATTGTAAAAAAAAATCGAGGCCATTTGATGCAAGAAATTAACACTAAATGTGTGTGTGTGTGTGTTCAAATTACAGTCAAATAAGAAAACTAAATATAAACTAGTATTTAACTCGTCTTGTGCATTGTCGCGGAGAACTCATTTGCACTTACAAAAACGAAAACCATAAAAGGAAATTATGTAACAAACAAAAAAGTGAACTTTAATGCGCATGGTTGTTGGGGTATGAAGTCTTGTCCAACACATGGAGCACTTGGAGTGCAAGTGAGCATCAGGAATGACAAGTGAGCACTTGAGGTTGCAATGGAGCATCAGAAATCAACATGGATCACTTGGAGTTCATGGAGCATGTGACAAACGAATGGCCCATTTGAGAAGGGAATGAATCATCAGATAAATGACGAATCTTCTAATAAAGGGTATGGATCACCTAAGAAGGGAATGGAGCATCTTGTGATGTTTCATGATGAAGGTGTGCCACATGTGTTCCTTTGTTGAGCCATGATATCCTTTGATGAGCTACTCCTGGAAGATGCTCATGGAAGATGCTTATGTGATGATGCTCACGGGTGATGCTCATGGAATATGCTCGCGGATGATGCTCATGGAAGATGCTCATGTGATATGCTCACGGATGATGCTCGTGTGATGATGCTCACGAGGGATGCTCATGGAATATGCTCATGTGATAATGCTCACAGTTGATGCTTATCGAAGATGCTCACGGATGATGCTCATGGAAGATGCCCATGCGATGATGCTCACGAGTGATGCTCATGGAAGATGCTCGCGGATGATGCTTATGGAAGATGCTTACAGATGATGCTCATGAAAGATGCTCATGAGGTTGAAGATTCCAGAAGCGTCTACATGCCTTCTATGATTGGTTGAAAATTAGGGTATCCCCTTTATGGGCTAATTATTGATGGGCTTGGCCCATCAGAATTAGGGTTTTCCATGCTTGCCTATAAATAGGCTCATATCCCCATTCATTATTCTTTGTGCAAGTGTGTGCGAGTGCTTGTACACAGTAATTTCAAAAGAACAACCATTGTGAGGATGAGTGCACATCCTTCAGAGCAGTTAGTAATCGAGAGAGATTCTTTTGTTTTGAGGGCTCAAATGAGGTGTAACATTTTTGTGTAATTATAATTATCCTTGGAAGTTTAATAAAATCATCTCTCTCTCTCTCTCTCTCTCTCTCTCTCTCTCTCTCTCTCTCTCTCCTATGGATGTAGATCATCTTGACCGAACCACGTTAAATATTGTGTTCAGTTTTTTATTTAACTTTTTAAGAAATTGTATTCCGTAAGTTTCACCAAAGTTTGTTTGACGTTTGTCAGAAGTGCTTAACTTGTTTTGTTGTCATCCCAACAAACAAGGGTAACCCTTTTGCTATCGTCTATATGGTGTGATTTACAGATGTCAAACAGTCTACATATAGCATGATGGCGATACCTTAAAAATATCAAAATAAAGTTTCGATCAAAACAATTATATACGGAGGAGGGGGACAAAAATAAGGCACAAGTAAAACATTTTTTAACCTAAGATGTTCTTGTTTTGATATAGAAAAACACATAAATATGACTCGGAAAAAAATATTCTTATAAGTTACACGATTAGCTTTTTAATAAGTCAAAATTATATGGTTTTAGCTCAAATATTTTTTTATTATTATTTATAAATTTCATATTAATTCAATTACAAAAAATATCAACAATAATATACATTTAAGACAAAACCTCATAAATGCTAATTGTGGTTTCTCAAAATTTAGGATATAGTTTATAAGTTTAAAAAACCTCATATAAATGGTTTTGTGGTTTTCAATTTATATCATAGTTGGTCCCTCATCCATCTAAAAAGACTTTTATACTCTTTTTATTTCTTTTATCTTTTTCTTTAAATTAAAATTAGTTAAAAAGAAAAAGTAAAATAAAATAAATACCACCCCCACCAATTTTCTTCCCTGTCCCTTTCTTCCCCCAAATCGAAATACATTTTCTTATATTTTTCTAGTAGTTTTCATCTAGTTTTTTGAAATCGTTCTATAGAGATTGTTAATACAAAGAAATTAGGAACTTGTTAAACATGCTTTGAATTGTATGTAACGTGTGATCGTGTGATGGAGTTTTTGGTTTCTGAAATTTTGAGAATTTTTTAGCTACGGTTTTGCAAGATAACTTTGTTTTGATTGTATAATTTCAGGTAAAATTGAGCTATCTGAAGTTGCTTGCTTTTTCGTCATGGTTATTATTCGTCGATAGAATCGGTTTAGCGATATATAGTTAAAATGTTGTGTACAAGCATTTCTAGTATGTCGTTTGGAGCATTCCGATCAATCTTGGGATTTGGAAACGATCATTATCAAATTTCATACAGAGGAGGTGAACAACAATTCTAAATCTCCACTGGATCATGAACTTGAAAGGTTCCAAGGTCAAGTATTCACTTAGTTCATGCATTTTCATCTTCTTCTCCCGATGAATTTCTCTCCATTTTTTTAGGATATCAAATGGTTGTAGCTAGTGATGAACGCATTTCCATGTAAGCATGATTCATTCAAACAAATCTACCACCTCCTTGGGGTTCAACGGTTCTCTCATGAGAGAGAGAGAGAGAGAGATCTTTTAGGTGGGTGACAAACCAACCATGATATAAATTTAAAACCATATGGGCCATCCATGAGGCTTTTCAACATAAGGACTGTATCCACGATTTTAGAAAACCACATGACCATTTATTAGGTTTTGTCTACATTTAAATAAGCAAACGTAAAAAATTATTGAAAGTATGATAGAAATTTTACAACCCATAAAAAAACATGAACATGCATGGGCCAACATCCTTTTTTATGTAAATTATGTAATACTTATAACACAAAACTGAAAAAAAATGGTTATAGCTGTCCAATTTTGGATACATTGTGCAACTTTGGTCCCTACCTCGTTAACTTTAACAGTTTGGTTTGGTTGTTAACTTTTTTGAAATAATAATTTTACCCTAAGTGACCACTTCTATAATTGTGTCTTTTTGACAAACTATAAAGACAATTTTTGCAATTTATTGAATTATTATATATTAATTTCTTTAATTACTTATTTTTTTTAATTTTTTTTATAAGATTATTATATATGAATAAATATTATTTTAAATATATAATATTTATATATTAATAAATATTATTTTATTGGATTATTAATTTCTTTTAATTAATTTTTTTATTTGATTATTATATATAAATAAATTTTACTTTTAATATATAATATTTATATGTTAATAAATATTACTTTTAATATATAATATTTATATATTAATAAATATTACTTTATTGGATTATTAATTTATTTTAGTTACTTCTTTTTAAATTTCATTTTTAATGGATTAATTAGTATTATATATTAACAAATATTATTTTATATGTAATATTTATATATTAAAAATATTAATTTATTGGATACTAATTTTTTTATTTATTTTTTTATTTTTTTAATTGTTTTTAATTTCTTTTAATTGTTTTCTTTATAAGTTTCAATAAACAAAAATCTCACCCGCCCCGTCTCTCGTAATTTGTTTAAATATTTGGTATATAACATATTTTGGACAATACGACCACCATCCTAATTTATTTTAAAAAATCTCACCCACCCCACTATTGTCGAACCGAATGTTGGTGGTGGTGTTGTCTAAAATAGGTTATCTTCCAAATATATTAAAATAAAGTAGGACGGGTAGGTGGGTGAGATTTAACTAAAAGAATTTATCCAACAAAAATAAAATTAAAAAATAATAATAAACTAAAAGAAATTAATAGTCCAATAAAATAATACTCCCTCCGTACCATATCTATAGTTCACTTTAAACTTTATGAAGTCTTTATTTTTTAACTTTAACCTTAAATATTTTTGTTTTTGATATATAATAGTTGATGTAAATTTTATTGATAAATTATGTTTTAAATGTCTTTTCATTGTTATAAGTTTGATCAAGTAATTTATAACACAAATAAAAATATTTAAGATAAAAGTTGAAGAATAAAGACTTAAAAAATCAAAAATGGACAATAAATATGGGACGAATGGAGTATTTATTAATTTATAAATAATACATATTACAAAAAATATTTATTAATATATAATAATCCAATAAAAAACGTAGAAAAATAATTAAAAGAAATTAATAGTCCAACAAAGTAATATCTATTAATATATAAATATTATATATTAAAAATAATAATTATTATTATTATATAATAATCCAATAAAAAGAATTAATCGAATAAAAAGAAATTAAAAAATTACTAAACCAATAAAATAATATTTTTTAATAAAGAAAAATCCAATAAAAAGAAATTTAAAAAAATTAGTTAAAAGAATTAATATATAATAATTCAATAAAATTTAAAAAAAATAAAAGATGCAAAATTGGTTCGTTTAATTTGGTAAAAAGACACAATGTCAGAAATGGTCGTTGAAGGTAAAAATATCATTTTAAAAAAATTAACACCCAAGCTGTTAAAATTAACAGGATATGGACCAAAACTGCACAAAATATCCAAAATTTGTCTACTGAAAGACCGCCAGACATTTTTGGAACTAAACAACATATTTTATTTTTAACATGACCATTTTTGCAATTTTGTCTGGTTATAATAAGGAAAATAAGAGATTTAACAATGAAAACTAAATTTAGGGGTTTTTTTGCACAAAGATTGAAAAAATAAATGGTTAATATTTAATTTTATTTATTGTCAAAATGCCACGAGATGATATAACATTTTGGTAATTTTCGGCGAAAGTTAAATATTTAGATGCTTAAAAGGGAAGAAAAAAAAAAGAAAAAAATCAGCTTTTAGCGATGTACACGCGCCCTCTCCCCCACTCTTTGTCACATGTCAAATTCTTATTGGTCAAAGCCTTTTTTTCCACTCATTTGTTTTTCGGCTATAATTTTTTTCCTTTAAAAAAGTCTGAAAAAACCAAAGTTTTTTAAAATTTAACTATTTATAAAATGTACATAATTATGAAATTTTCAAGAAAACAATAATAATAAAAATAATAATTTACACCTTTTTTTAAAACCAAAAAAAATCTCCAAAAATCTTAAAATTTTGCGTGATACTTCTACTCACTACACTATACTAGTGACTTTGTAAATAATAATAATAACTTTTTGAAAGTATCAATATTTTAATTTTAAAAATAATAAGTTTTATAAAATATAGCAGAAATTTTTTGTCCAAATTCTTTAACTATTTATAAAATGTACATAATTATGAAATTTTCAAAAAATAATAATAATAATTTACACCTTTAAACCAAAAAAATCTCCAAAAATCTTAAAATTTTGCGTGATACTTCTAGTCAATATACTAGTGACTTTGTAAAAAATAAAAATAACTTTTTGAAGTGTCCATATTTTAATTTCAAAAAATATTAGACTTTATAAAATATAGAGGAATTTTTTTATCCAAATTCAAAAAACAAATGAAAAAAATTATGCATCTTACTATTTTATTAAGTTTGTCAAAAAAAAATCTAAAATATTATTGTTAAGGATACCTACGTTTTGTTTAAAAGATTCCAAGTATTGTTGTTAACAACATTTCGGTGGTGACTCATGGGGTGAGGGCTAGGCGTCCCATATAAAATGTCTCAAGTTCATGCATTGTGGTTCAATAGAGAAATGTGTGTGACACACTCTAAAAAGAGTTGTGCTTATTATCATCACCAAAGGTGATACCTTACTTCAAAACCTCATAATATCGGTGGCAACAGGTGGTGGCAAACCCAGTTCTATATAATAATATGTATTTTTTGAAACATTATTTTTTTAAAAACAAATTATATAAGATTAATGGTAAAATATGTAAATAAAAATTTAATGGTAAAATATATTAAAAAAATATTAAATGGTATAATATAGTATTTTTCTTTTTTTGTACAATTTTAATACTTTGTTACCTTCCAAGTCATTTTCTCCTTTTTGCATACCACTTGATGAAAAGGGAAAAATAATCAAAAAGAATAAACGCGAGCATTATTTTATTTTTTGTGCTTTATGACAATAACAACGTACTCATGAATAATTCAAACCAATAGTTACTCTCAATAGAAATAGACATGAAAACACTTCTCTTTCTTTAGATCAAAATTAAGTGAGAATCAATTAGAATAACTTTGATAAAAGTTTACAAAGGTACAATGGTTTTTTATAAAATAAATGTGTGAGAAATTTTATTTTACGTTTGTGACATTTGGAAAAAAGGTTATTATGGCATCTCCAACCAACCCCACTACAAAGATTGAATTTCACTCTATTTTCATTTTCTACCTCACTCTATTTTTCACACTATTTTGGTATAAAATAATACTATAACACCAATTTTGATATGTTACGCTATTTTGGTATAAAATAATAGTACAACACCAATTTTGATATGTTATATTGGTCCTTCGGCTTTTGGTTATAAGTTTTGTAATAATATATTTTAGAAAGTTAATAGAACAAAAAAGATATAAATAAGAATGTAAAAATCAAATAAGTTGAAAAATGATTTTGACAATCTATAAAAAATTGGATACACCGAGGAATATACTTTAAAATGGTGTAGGATCGAAGATGAACATTATTTGCATCATTTTTCACACTATTTTGGTGCAAAAATATTAAATAGTGTTGTGTGGGAGATGGTCTTATAGGCCCTTTACTTTTTGCATAAGGTTTTCGACCTTACAAGTTACAACTTGATCGATGAGCTTAAAATGTCTATTACAGTTTTAAACCTATCTTTAAGGGATTCATCTTTTTTTTTTTCATTCGTGTATCGAAATGGCAAGTGATTTCCTACTTATGCAATGTGATTCTACCAAGTAGTATAGACTTTTGGTGTGAGGTGGAATCACTATATTCCTTGTGTGTTTTAGTTGATTGTTTATACTCCTTGTTTGTTGCAAGAGTTTTCCCTTATAACTTAAAATTCCAAGCATTTGTATCTAGTTGTTGAAATTTAACACACATATAAATAGTGTTTTTCAAGTGAATTTTTGTGGTAAAGATTTAAATTTTTTTTTCTATTTTGTGCAAAAAGCAACCCTTTCCCCGTGACATCTCTTACCTAGCAACCCTCTTATCCATCCTCATATTAACCCCAAATTGCTTTCTGCGTTATTTCTATATGAATATAGTTTAGAATCTTGAACTGAAATCATTCTATCTCCATAATCATACCTTGATTTGAAGACCATCATAGGCTTTTTTGAAGCACCAAATTCATATGTAGCCTCCTACTCATGAATATGCTTATTTTTCTATCAAAGAGCCTACTCGCTACTCAAGGGTTTCTTACACACAATCTAAAGTCACCATAGTATAGAGAAAAACTATTTCTTGTACTCTATAAGAAACAATATTTCTAACCGCCAAAATAATATCGTTTGAAGCACCAATTTTGTACACAACCTAAACTTAATGTTAAGCATAACTTTCTCTCCTCCAAATAAGCAGCACAAATAATTTGTACCCAAGGGCAAATCTAGAAAACATTTCATTATTCCTAACATCATATACTCCAAAACGTTTCAAGATTAAAGAAAATATGATTTCATTTCCAAGATAAAACATGGCATGATCAAAATCCTCACATCTCACAACAAATAAAAGAGCCCCACAAAGTAATCTGCCGTTGCCTTAGCTAAAAACTACTCAGAATCGATAGGCATGGTTAATTTGCAAGCTATTTGTAGAACTTTGAAATTGAGATCAAAAATGACATTTGTGAGAGGGAAAATCCATCAATGCCTCTTTATTTCGGTTAATTTTTTTACTCAATATTTAATCTTACTTCATTGACCGTTTACAATATAACAAAAATCAGAATCAACTTATTTACAGATAAGTTGGTCAAAATTACTCTTTCTACAAGGTTGATAATATGGTTATTTTTATTTTATTTCTTTTGCAAAAACATAATTTATAAATCAAAATGAATATGTGTGTACATCTCTATAATATTGTTAATAAAACTGTTGTCATTTCTGGTTGATAAAATCTTAAGTATCACTTTCATATTAAGTTGACGTCACTGTATAGCCACAAACTATAACCATTTTGTTGTTTAAATGATTAATAATATTCATCGATTTTAACCTAATCTAATAAACCAGTAATAAATTTGATGTGGTCCCTACCCAAAAACAACATTGTGTGAAAGATAAGCATACATGTATATGCCTACACCCGCACATATATGTATACAGACAAATACATCCGGTGCACACACACACACACACACACACACACACACATATATATATATATATATATATGTGTGTGTGTGTGTGTGTGTGTGTGTGTGTGTGAAGGCATGCACATGGGCGAACTCAAGTTGCGAACTTTTCCCCCCATTAAAATTTTGAGCTTGATTTTAACTAGGTTAATATTAAAGTAGATATAGACCTCCCAACCATTATGCCCCATGATAATATGAAATAAAATGATAGAAATAACTATTTGTTAACAATATAAACTAAGTTGATTTACCTCCATTTTGAAGTGTTCCAAAACAGAGATGGCACAATGGCCAGGTCAAATGGGTAATTTTTAATACTGGTCAAAAGGGGGTCTTTTGGTGCTTCATAGACATATAAGGTCAAATGGGTAATTTTAAGTTTCTACATTTTACACATTTGACCCTTCAAATATAACCCAAAACCATTTTAGAAAAAGGAGGATAGGCCAAGAAAGCTTTAAGAGATGCATATAATGTAAAACATACCTCAATCGGCTCCAATAAGTCTTCACTTCAGAATGTTTGTCCAGCAATGCATAAGTGGCTCATCCACACTTCATACTCAAGAATATGAAAAGGGTCTAAAGTTTTTTTTTTTTTTTTTTTTTTGTTTTTGTGGTGAAAGCATCAAAAGCGTTAGTTAACAAAAGTTAAAAAAGCTAGTGATGGCTTTAATGTCCAACAGCTCACCACACTATTAAATCTGTAGCATCAAAGCAAAACAAGATTAAAAAATCAGCCTATATATGTATGTCTCTTCTGTCCATTGGTCGACACAACCAACTGTTTATACTTTATATTATTGTTGTATGAATATAAAATTATAAAATCATAAACCGCTAACCAAAACCAGGTTGATACAAACAAAAAAAAAAAGCAAATAGAAGTGTACCGGGTAAGATTGCCTAAGTGGGCCCATTCTGCAGCTTCAAATTCAAATACATATTTACCTTCAACTTGTTCTTCTAGTGCACTTTTTTCCTCTTATTCTGATGATGATTATAGTCATTATCTGAAGAATCATTGACCATTTGCCATGTGTCCTTCCTTTTTACATCCCTTCTTTTTCTTGAATGACGCCTACAGCTACAATCACTGTCTGATTGATCCCTGCTACTATGATGATGATGATGATGATGCCTTTTGTCATTTTTATGCCTCACTTCATCATACCTATGGTTACCACTATGCACATCTTCTACTTCTAATTCTACCCCTGAAATTGATCTATCTGTATGATATGATCCATGTTCTCGACCATCGTTTGTGGAATGAGAACGTTTTTCATATCTTTTATGATGACTAGATTTGATGTTTAGATCTTGATGTTTGTCATAGTGATGATCTTTTTGCAACTTTCTGCCATGGCTTTCTTCTGAATTGCTCACAGCCTTTCCCCTGTTTCTTTGAGATTTATATTCTGATGATCTAGAAAGCTCATGGGAGTGAGACTCATGACGCTTTGGGATTCCATTTCCATCATCTTCATAATCGGAAGACCTTTGTCTATAATTTAAAAAAAAAAAAAAAAAAAAAAAAAAAAAAAAAAAAAAACTCTTGTTACTTC